TTCAAACGCATCGAATTTTTGAATTGCAATGTAATCTAGTGGTTGACCAAAGAGAAATTTTTATATATATACAAATTAGGATAATTGGCTTAAAAAAATAACAATTAAAATAAAAATATGTAAAAAAATATAAAAGGATTGGCCAACCTCCACAAGAGAAAAGATGGAAAAAATGGAACAATGAAAGAAAAGCTACCCGTAAACAAAACATATTCATCAACGTCAATGTACCGCACGAAATACAGATATATGTATGTACCTCACATCCCCAGTTCTAGTAGTAGCATCAGCCCTGCTGATATATATGCGCATGCATATGAGAAAGCGAAATATTAGTGGTGTGCGTGTCGTGTATGTGCCAAATAGTCTGAACAAACTTCTAGAGAGCCAATCCAAGTAGCTGAAATATAATGGGTATAAACTCCACGGCCAGCCATCCAATTCCTAACATAGCAATGCAAGATTGTTGTTAGTCAAACAAAACAAACACAAAGAAAGAAAGAAAGAACCGCGCCTGAGCAAAAGGTAATAAAAGTCGAAAAGAGAACGTGTCCACTGGGAGTTAGGAATTAGAACATACCAAAATACACTACTAACTTCGTCACAACCTCCACATCATACCGTACTCGCGGCGGTGTGATCTTCGAAAACATCACCTTCTCCTCTTCCGCCTCGAGCTGATATTCAAGAGTGTCTGCTGCACCCGTGGCTACATTCACATTCACGTCCGCGCCAGCGCCAGCACCATGCATGTTCAGTATGTCTTCCGTGTTGAAGACAGGCGTCCCCGTCCCCATCATATGTTCATACTCATCAAGTTTGCGTGGGGTCCTGATGGCCGGTGGCGAAAATGAGTTGCTGTCCGTCGCTGGCGTATTGGTTTTCCGGTTTCCGGGTCGCCCGGAGGTAGCGGCGGCGGCGGCGGCGGCGGCGGCGGGCGACGTGTTATGCTTGTTTCGCTTATCCTCGATCGTCGGAGGGAGTCTGCGCCCAGCACTGACGCTGCGCGATTGGTTAGACGAGATGCTTTCCCGTCGTCGTTTCTCCCGATAAGCAAGTGTCTCGTAGGCGTCTGCTTCTGATTGAGGGCCTACGGAAACTGCTCTTCTGCGCGGGTGGCGGATTGAGGTGAGGATGGAAGGGATTTCAGAGACGTTGGGGATTACGTCGTCATCTTTGAGATGGCCGGGGACTTTTTCATATTCGCTGTAAGTTTCAAGTTTTTAGCTGAATGTCATGTCTACTTGTGTGAGAAGGAACAATGCATAGGGACCTGTATGACATACGATGCGAGAATGAAGAATCTTCTGGGAAGATTGAGGCCCAGCCGTTCGATCACTCGAAATACAGGCGGCAGCAACTTATGAAGGGATGGTTTCATTATTTCCCTCCACAAGAAGACAATCACGACCCCAAGGATAATCCGCGCAATAGTTTTGGCCCAACCAAGTTTTGCCAAATCATATGGAACCGTCCCTGGGTAAGGGTCATTGCTTGCAAAAGTGGTTTGGGCGAAGTGCCAGTTCCCGAACTCCGCACCCATCAACACCCCTGCGAATGCAAGACTATCGTCGAAGCAAGGGCACGAATCTGCGGGCTCAGGGTGCATTCGAACCAATGCAAGAACAACCGCTACTACTGCAAATATCACATTTATCGAGCCCGAATAGATAAGTTCGTCATAGCTCTCCCCGTATGAATATCGTACATAGCCCAACAAAGCGCCCAGGAAACTGCCAGTGATAACGTCGAAAAACCCATGCATCCCGCAGTACAGCCTCCCAATAACAATGGATGTCCCGAATATATACAGGATAACGTGGAAGATAATTTTCGCAACCGGCTCGACAGTCGAGTCAGGCGAGTTTAAAAGGTAAAGTCCGTAAACGACGACTGAAATGGCATTGGTCGAGTGAGTAGAGGGAAACCCATATTCTAACGCCGCGGAGCCAGACATGGTAATTCGATGGAGAGGTGGAGACAAAGGTCGAGGAAGACATAACATATCCTTAAACCAGCCGCTGATGAAGACGCCTGATGCTAAGAGATGGACGATTCTACATGCGTATATCAGCTCCATCCTCACTAGCCTCCACTTATCAAACACCCGGAGAAGGGAGGAGGGTGAAAGGGATCGATTCGTTCCGCGACTCACCCTCGACCGATCTCTGTATAGCCACACCAGAAAAGAACAGGTAGCATTATCATATAGAAGGTATGTGTCCCTAGGTTGGCGGTGATCGCAAACCAAGAATCAAGAGATGGATTGCGCATTCGCTCCTGGAACCAAGCAAGATAAGGCGTTTCCCACCGCACCAAGGGCAGCAGGGCAGTCCGTAGCTTGTACCGCCATCTAGGGAGTTTCTGTTGATCTGCGCCAGTTCAACCATCTGTTAGCTCTGGGTATTTTATTTCCATATACACTACCATTCACATAAATTGGCGGGTACATTAACAGTTGTAACTCAGAGATATGGAGTGAACATACAATGGTCCAGGCCTTTTAAGCCCGCGTCGGGCTGGTCCAGGGCTTTTCTTTTAGCCATGGACTAATATGGGCGAGAGACAGAGAGAGCGACTGGGATGGGAGAGACTTGACAAGAGAGCCATATAGAGATAGGAATTTTAGTACATTCAAAAATGAAGAAGAAAAAGAAAAAAGACAACGAAGCGGATACTGGGTGCTCTGGGCAAGTCACACAAGGGGGGCTTATTGCATTGGAATAATGGAATTCAGCGGTAGACGGTGGGATCTGAGGCAATGCTGGCTTGGGGAGAGGAGTTGTCAGTTGTCGCCACCGCGGTCAACCCAGAAGCTCCCGCGATGGAGTCTCGAGAGTTTGGAAGCAGTTGAAGCTGTTCCCACCGCTGCTGCAGTCGATGACGGAAAGAGAAAGTCGGGCATGCAATTGCCAAGACCTGTCTCGGCTGTTGGGCGCTTAGTCAGGGGCTGGTGGGCATTGGCTATTCTTATCTTTGCATACTACTCCGTATGTATATGTACGATGCGCAGACATTGGCAATGGGGCATGCGGTGCATTTCTATTGGTTTCCCGTGATACGTGAACCATTTCTGTGCTCCGGATGTTCCAATTGATGGCGAGGAATAGGATGGAAACAACCCCGGGTACGCTCCCTTTACAAGCCTTGAAGTAACCGTCACAAATACGGGGTGGTTTCAAAAGGATTCACGGCACGAGAACTTTGTGCTCCGAGACGAGAACATCTCAAGACAGGACACCCTGGTTATTCTTGACGATAGCTATCCCGCAATGAGAGAATGTTTGGGTTTTTCAGCCCGCCTCCAACTTGTCAACGATCCAGGGCCAGGATGACGCAAGGAATTATTGCTATCTAGTCGTTTCAGATCCACTCATGTGGACGGCCTCGCAATCCACAGCGCAGGAAATCCAGGGCGAACAGGGGTTACAGAGGCACTGGGCACAGTGGATAGCCGGGGCAGGGTCCGACACAGTGCTCCAAGTGGACATCTAGGGATTCCAAGGATTTTGTTGGGCCGGGGCAGGGAGTCGGTTGCCATGGCAGCCGGCTGGTGTAAACATTGGCCGTAGCTCGCCCATCTCCACCTCCAAGTAAAATAAGAACAAGAGAAAAGTAACTAACTAGAGAACGAGACTTAGCAATCTCACCGTCAGCGATTTCTTTCTTGTTTTCGCCCGCTCTTCCCCTTGCGCTCTCCTGCTTGCCTGTCCCTGTCTTCCCCTCCTCCTCTCCTCGCTTCTCGTCCCTTCTTGACTCCCCTCATCTTCTCAATCCCTTTTCCATTACAACCAACATACATATTTTGTACCGAGATATCTCGTTTCTTCCCTCCTATTCGCTTCCACTATAAACCTTTATCCAAAACCCTTTCGTCACCCTTTCTCTCTAACCTGCTACCATCTATTCCCATAGATAAGGCTATAGATAACAGAGAAACCTCACCGCTTATCAGTCATTTGATTGAGAAAAGTTGCTACCCTTGTTATATTCTGAAGGCTTTGAACCAAACCATGGCAACCCGTGGTTATGAAGAACAACCGCAGTACGGCGGGGGTCGTGTTCGCCGTCATTCTTCTGTCCTCGATGAAAAGGCCCTTCCTGCACCGCTCACTCCCCGTCGAAGACACGCCAGAAGCCAGAGCACTCGGGTAAGCAACGGCACCGTCAGCACAAATATGAGCATGGCCTCGAGTCGAATGTCCCAAGCAACCAACATCACCCAACCCCCTTCATACTCGAAAAAGTTTGTTGTTGTTGGGGATGGTGGGTGCGGGAAGACTTGTTTGTTGATCAGTTATTCTCAGGGTTATTTCCCGGAGGTATGTTATGTTTACTAACGAAATACTTACATCTTTTTTTTTTTTTTTAACTAACATTGTGCTCGTAGAAATATGTGCCTACTGTTTTCGAAAATTATATCACTCAGACGATGCACGTACCAACTGGAAGGACAGTTGAGCTTGCTCTTTGGGATACAGCTGGCCAAGAGGAATACGACAGACTTCGTCCGCTCTCGTATCCAGAGACCGATCTTCTCTTCGTATGCTTTGCAATTGATTGCCCTGTATCGCTTGAGAACGTAATGGATAAGGTAAGGAACCTTGCATCTATTTGGAAATTTTCGAGGAGAGTATCATTGTAAAACCTAACCCTACTCGGTTGCCATTATATAGTGGTATCCCGAAGTCCTCCATTCTGTC